ATTCCGCACTGGATGTTGGAAGTTGACTCAGAGAAAACTGCGACGGAAGGCAAATGGCGGCTCTGCAAAAGCTGCCACAATAAAGAACGCTGATCCCGCTGTGCCTTCTTTCGGCGGCCCTGTGGGAGGCTGAAGCTGGACAGATTCACTATTCTGTGGCAAAAGAGATCAACAAAGGCTTCTCCGTGAACGACATTGCCAAAGACTTGGGTTTGGAGCCCGTGGCACTGGCAGAGCGGGGAGTTTGCATTGTCTCCAGAGGTGGGACGCAGCTCTGAACCCCCAAAGCAGCAGCTTGATGACTGTGGACAGAATGGACCAAGAGCAGCTCTGCGCTCAGAGCGCACGGTGTCTGCTGAATTTTAACGTACTACTGAAAGACAAATTGACTATTTATTCAGTAGAGGTAGAAACAACGGATAGTAATGTTAATGCCTCTCACTTTGGAGTAGAGGATCTGGAGCTAAAAACCAGTGAGACAATTATGCCAGGATTCCGGATTCCTTTTAAGAGTGAGCTTTTGCAGACATAGCAGAGAACAGCCTTCAGAAGTACGAACTCAACCCTAATGACCTCTTTTCCCGGGACGTGCAAAGCAGAGTTGCCGGGAACAAGTACCCAGAGCTGGTGCTGGAGGGCTCTCTGTACAGCGAGGCAGACGCCGTTCACCACCTTGTCTCATGGCTTCCGATGGGGTGACCTGGTTCCATCTGGCACCTCCCGCATCGGGGAACCACATTGCAACTGTTTTTAACAGCCTGGGTACCATGTCTTACCATGTCTTAGTGTTCCATATGCCCGTAGTACCCGAATACTCGCCATGAGTGCCACTAACGCACATGAGGGATACCACGCATAAGTGGAATATTTTCCAGAGAAAAGTCCTGGAGAAACCTCAGAGGTATTTGAGCTTAGGTCTACATCTGGAGATATAACAATCATAAAAAAAAAAATCTAGATTATGAGGATGCTAAATTCCATGAAATTGATATTGCAGCTCAGGATGGTCCTGGCCTTCTGACCAGAATGAAGGTTTTTGTAACATTTCTGGACGTGAATGGCAATGCCCCAGAATTTTAGGTGACATCTGCTACTAGTTTAGCTCCTGAAGACTCTCCTTCAGGATTGCACTTTTCAGTGTGCATGATAGAAACTCTGGGAAGAGCGCATTTATCACATGTTCACTCCCCGAGAATCTTCCTTTTAAGTTAGAAAGGTCAGTGGACAATTACCACCAACTGCTTACAACCAGAACCCTTGACAGGGAACAGTCTTCCTTTTACAATGTCACTGTAACTGCTAAAGATGAAGGGAACCTGGCTCTGTCCATGGATGCTCGTGTTTTGCTGTAGGCGGCAGACATCAACTACAATCCTCTCGCCTTCCCTGCAGTTCCTATTCTGCCTATGTTCCCAAAAACAACCCCAGAGGAGCCTCCGTCTTCTCAGTGATGGCCCATGACCCCATGACAGCGACAACAATGCTCCCGTTACTTTCAGGGAGCACCCCTATCCTCTTACATCTCCATCAGTTCCAACAATGGGGTCCTCTGTGCTGAGCTCCAAGCAATTCTAAGACCTCCAACTGTGGGTGATAGCGCAGGACAGCAGGAACCCCCACTCCAGAGCAATGGATCAGTGAGCCTGTTCCTCCTGGACCAGAATGACAATGTGCCTGAGATCCTGTACCCTGCCTTCCCCACCAACCATTGCATTGACGTGGAGCTGGCACCTCACTCTGCAGAACCCGGCTACCTGGTGACTAGTGGTGGACAGAGACTGGGGCCAGAACGCCTGGCTGTCCTATCGCTTGCTAAAGGCCAGCGAGCCTGGGCTCTTTGCGATGGGGCTGCACACAGGCAAGGTGCATCCAGCTCAGGTGCTGCTGGACAGAGGCGTGCTCAAGTAGAGCCTTGTCCAGGACCATGGCCAGCCCCCTCTTGCGGCCATCATCATGCTCACAGTGGCTGTGGTCAACAGCATCCCAGATGTCCTAGCCGACCAGGGGCAGCATCAGAATCCTCACTGGCCCAGACGATTTCAAACTCAGTGCTGTACTTGGTGGTGGCAGTGGCCGAAGTCTACTGTGTCTTCCTCACTCCTGTCATCGTGCTGCTAGCCTCAGGCTGCGGCGCTGGCACAAGTCACGCTTGCTTCAGGCTGCGGGAGGTGGATTGGCGGGCGTGCCTGCCTCACACTTTGTGGGTGTGGACGGGGTGCGGGCTGCAGGCTGCAGACCCATTCCCATGAGGTCTCCCTCACAGCTGACTCGCGGAAGAGTCATCCGATCTTCCCCCAGCCCAACTACCCCGACACGCGTCAGCCAGGAGAGCTGTGAGGAAAAAGATTTTCTGTCAGCACCTCGTTTTCAACTCGAAAAGGAAAGAGAAAAGACATTTTCACAATATAGTTATAGCTACTTTGCTAAAATCAATTTACCTACTTAGTTGCCTCCACTGTTTATGATATCTATTTTATTCCTCATGTTTCCTTGAGAATGTAGTCAAGATTTAGGAAATGAGTCTTGGTGAGTTATTTCAAGGTAGTTCCATGTGTTGACAGGCTGTAAGAGAGAGGAGGGGCCAGAATCATTGTGTAATAAATGCAAATCAGGAGCAATGAGTGATGGTGATATTTAAATTATCAAAAGAGCACTGCATTAGTAACTGGGGCATATGATTTCTCATGCTTTCTTCTCCACACCTAGGCAAATCATCCCACCTGTCTGGACCAACAGTTTTTTCTGTCTTAAAAGTATGAAGGTTTGCATTTATGTTTAGTCAAGTCTTTTCCTCCTTTAAAATGTAAAACTTTTGTTTTATATTTGAATCTGTATATGAATAATGAAATGCCTTGGTTGGTTAATTCCTTCTCACTGAGTCTTAATATTTTCCCTTCAGTTTGGCAGTGAAGTTCTTTGTTTTCCTTAATTTGCACATCCTTCCCTATTAAAAAGATGTAAATTTAAAAATATACATTCTTCAGTGTTTCAGAATGGTATGTCAGGTATCTCTGCTTAGTTAGAAATCGCGTTAGCCTCTATAGTAGCTATGTGTTCCTTGAAGAGGTGACCGACTTATCATTTGCCGTGTAATAAATTGGTAGAGTAATCATAAACAGGTTTCTCTTCACTGTTTTTATTTTTCTCATATCTGGAAACCATAATGCCTTTTTATCTTTAAAAATAATATATATCCTCAATATAGCTTTGATTAAAGAAAAGATACAAGGGATTCAGAGGCTGTATCATACAATTGCCCCTAAAGGCCTCCTTATACATCTCTCTTCTCAAAGTTTTCTATTCCCAGCAGCTGTTAAAAATGTTCCCAATTCCTCACCAAACCCCAGTTCCCCTTCTTTTCTCATTCCTCTTCCCATACGGCTTTTAGTATGTTGGTTATATATTTAATAACAGAGAACAATAAACACACTAATATTGTATGTAACTGGGATCATTTTTGTTTTGACTTGGAAGTGATTGTGTACTAATTGAGCCTTATATGTAATGGTATCTCATCTCTCAGATACTGTAATTCTTTATTATATTTCAAGGCATCTGATAAGGGAAATTTTAGATGAGGTATTTCATTGTGTTTATTATTATTACATAATTCTCTATTGGGTAAAATTGGAACTCACTGTGGGAATAATATGTCATAATATCTTTACCTGTAAGTAAATAATAAAGTATAAACAGAGGAAAATTAAAGACAAAGTTCCTTTTAGTGTATGGAATAACTTCACAAGAATAAATGCCTTAGATATGTAATGCATCATGATTGAAATGATGCATATATTGTATTTCTATTTCTGTGCTTGGAAACATCCAGCGAAAGGGATTCTGGAACATAAAGCAAAAGTTTGTTTCTACTAGTTTCAGTTGTGGTTTTAAAAAAATATCCTCACACTCTAGATTTAGACAAAGTGAGCTTCTTTCAGTATCCTGAAGGTCTGTGATTTACCTTTCACATCTAGGCATCACCATGCTGTTCCCTCTCATATCCAAGCCTTTTCCCTTATCCACTCCTCTTGTGTTTCCTGGAAAGCCTTTGCTAGCTTCCAAGGCCAAATAGAAGGCCCTCCCATCACCCCTTGGCTTCTCTCATTATGGTAGTTATCTCCATGCACTGTAATTCCCTGTTTGCTTTTGTACCCTTATTAACTCTGCAAAGGAAGTGGCTGTGTCTGTATTGTTCACCTTAAATCCCCAAAGAATGTATTGTCTGAACCCAGTTATGTGTTTGTTTAATGAATATTAAATAACAAATAACAGATATTGAAACTAAGATGTCAGGCCATCAAGAACAAATTTCAAAAATGTAACCTATAAATATGGCTGATGTTTCTGTGTGTTTCTCTTTTTTCCTTTTTCTCATCTCAGCTGAGAGTATAGAGAGGCAAAGGTGGAAGTGAAGGTGTATGCATTAACAAATAACTGATAAATGTAGAAAGTACAATGACAAACACATGTTCAAGGTTCAGTGGTGGAAGAGCGAGTGGTAATTGTGGCTTTTAACGGTTCTGTGTGGGTCCTCAGGGTCAGTCCTTTGTAACTGTGTGTTTCTTAAACTGAACATCAAAATGTAACTGTAAACAGTAACTCCACCATGTTTGAAGCAATATTGGTTATCTTTAAGCATTCAGGTTAGTGCATGGATTCCCAAGGAAGATAACTTGAAGTCATATAGTTAATATTAATATGTTTATATTAATTCAATTATGTGGAGTCAACACCAGCTCCATCATTTCCCCGGACAAAAAGGATTTCAGGTGTTGGGAAACTTAGAGGGTGCAGTAAACGGTTAGGCCTCTGAGCGTCGCTGTTGACCACTCAAGAAGGAGAACGCAACTGGAGAGCTAGTCCACCATTTCGTTGCTCCTAAAACGCAAAGATCCAGCAAATCAGACTCAGAAGATCCGGGGCGGCTACTAAGCTCACCTCGTAAGTCAGCCAGATCTGTGACCTATGAATTAGGCCCGTGAAAGACTAAGCTTCTTGAGAAAACAAGATTGGAGTCCGTCTTGGGAAATTGGAATAGAAGATAATTCACCAAAAAGGAAATGACCAATTGCCTGAGATTCCTAAACCTCAGAGGACTGGCCCTGCTGTGCGCGTTCCTGGGGACGCTGTGCAAGACAGGATCTGGGCAGATCCGCTACTCGGTGCCGGAGGAGCTGGAGAAAGGCTCTTTCGTTGGCAACATCGCCAAGGACCTGGGGCTGGAGCCCCGTGACCTGGCAGAACGCCGAGTCCGCATCGTCTCCAGAGGTAGGACGCAGCTTTTCTCTCTGAACCCGCGAAGCGGCAGCTTAGTCACTGCAGACAGGATAGACCGGGAGGAGCTCTGCACTCAGAGCGCGCGGTGCCTGGTAAAATTTAACATCCTGGTTGAGGATAAATTGAAAATTTTTGAAGTAGAAATAGAAATTAAAGATATTAATGATAATGCTCCTAATTTTCTAACAGAAGAATTGGAAATAAAAATTGGTGAACTAACAGTTCCTGGAACCCGCTTTCCACTCAAAACTGCATTTGACCCAGATGTGGGCACGAACTCCCTGCAGAACTACAAGCTTAGCCCCAGTGACTACTTCTCCCTGGCTGTGAACAGCATCTCTGACGGGGCCAAGTACCCAGAGCTGGTGCTGGAGCGGGCCCTGGACCGGGAGAAAAAGGAAGTTCACCAGCTTGTCCTCACTGCCTCTGATGGTGGTGACCCTGTCCTCTCTGGCAACTTATGCATCCAAGTGATAGTTCTGGATGCAAACGACAACCCACCAGTGTTTACTCAGCCTGAGTACCGCGTAAGTGTTTGGGAAAACGCACAGGTGGGTACCCGGCTGCTTACCGTGAATGCCACCGACCCTGATGAGGGATTCAATGCTCAAGTGTCCTATATTCTAGTTAAAATTCCTGGGAAAATTGCTCAGATTTTCGATCTCAACTCAGTGACTGGAGACTTATCAATATTAAAAAGTCTAGATTATGAGGATGCTATGTTCTATGAACTTAAAATTGAAGCACACGATGGACCAGGTCTTTTTTCAAGAGCCAAGATTTTAGTCACAGTTCTGGATGTGAATGACAATGCCCCAGAAGTTACAGTCACTTCTGTCACAGGCTCAGTCCCAGAAGAGGCTACCGCTGGAAGAGAAATTGCTCTTATCAACGTTCATGACCGAGATTCTGGGCAGAATGGGAAGGTTACAGTTTTTGTCCTAGGAAATCTGCCATTTAATTTAGAAAAATCAATAGACCAATATTACCGCCTAGTGACAGCCAGATCTCTAGACCGTGAACGGGTTTCAGAATATAACATCAGTCTGAGAGCCACAGATGGTGGGAGTCCGCCTCTATCCACAGAAACTCACATCCCACTGCGTGTGACAGACATCAATGACAACCCACCAACCTTCCCTCACTCCTTCTACTCTGCCTACATTCCAGAAAACAACCCCAGAGGAGCCTCCATCTTCTCCGTGACCGCCCAGGACCCAGATAGTGACAACAATGCCCGCATCACTTACGCATTGACCGAGGACATCCTCGAGGGGGCGCCTCTCTCCTCCTATGTCTCCATCAACTCCAACACTGGAGTCCTGTATGCGCTGCGCTCTTTCGACTATGAGCAATTTAGAGACCTGCAGCTACTGGTGACAGCCAGCGACAGCGGGAACCCACCGCTAAGCAGCAACGTGTCGCTGAGCCTGTTCGTGCTGGATCAGAACGACAACACGCCCGAGATATTGTACCCCGCCCTCCCCACAGACGGTTCCACCGGCGTGGAGCTGGCGCCCCGCTCCGCGGAGCCAGGCTACCTGGTGACCAAGGTGGTGGCAGTGGACAGAGACTCGGGTCAGAATGCCTGGCTGTCCTATCGCCTACTCAAGGCCAGCGAGCCAGGGCTCTTCACAGTGGGGCTGCACACAGGTGAGGTGCGCACAGCGCGGGCCCTGCTGGACAGAGACATGCTCAAGCAGAGCCTCGTGGTGGCCGTCCAGGACCACGGCCAGCCCCCTCTCTCAGCCACCGTCACGCTCACCGTGGCTGTGGCCGACAGTATCCCTGAAGTCCTGGCCGACCTGGGCAGCATCAAGGCTGCTGCCGATCCCAACGATTCGGGCCTTACGCTATACTTGGTGGTGGCAGTCGCCGCCGTCTCCTGCATCTTCCTCGCGTTTGTCATCGTGCTGCTGGCGCTCAGGCTGCGGCGCTGGCACAAGTCACGCCTGCTCCAGGCTTCCGGAGGCGTGCTGGCAGGCATGCCCGCCTCTCATTTTGTGGGCATGGACGGGGTGCGGGCCTTCCTGCAGACCTATTCCCACGAGGTCTCCCTCACGGCGGACTCGCGGAAAAGCCATCTGATCTTCCCCCAGCCCAACTATGCGGACACGCTCATCAGCCAGGAGAGCTGTGAGAAAAGTGAGCCTCTGCTGGTACCTCAAGATTTACTTGAAACGAAAGGAGACCCCAAGCTACTTCAGGTGAGTTTATTTCTTTCTTTGAATATTATAAAGAACAATTATGCCAATGTGGTTATTATACAGCTTTAACACACACGTACTTGAGAAATAAAGCAATGAGGTAGTCATTAGTCCTGTTATCTAAATATTTATCCCTCTTTCCTCTGGGCCTATGATAGGACTGCACTTCCTGGCCTCCTTATGGCTGAGTGAGCCCAGGCAACTAGCTGTGGCCAATAGTACCTTGTAAGTGGAAGTAAAGGTGTTTCAATTCCTGGAGGAAACTCTAATTGCCATTGGGAGAATTTCCAGATTTCTAAGTTAACTATTTGCATTTGTGACTGCTCCTTCTACCGGGGTCCTTGAGTAACTAGGATAAGAGAAGAGCCCTGTGGTTGACCCAACATGGTCTTTATACTTGTGATAAACAGGCCTTTTTCATTTTAAATCCCTGTGTTTTGAAATTTGTCACTCCAGCCTGCCTAGCTTATTCTGACTGATACATACAAGATATATATATGATGTTTTATGCTCCCATAAAATTATGTTTGACCCCTACGCTCTTTTCAAATAGATGTCATAAAAATTGTAGGATAAAACATGTAGAGATTGATCAAATGGTTTTACCTGTAGTGCCTATTATATATGCCTAAATTATATGTGCAAATGTGTGTGTGTACTCATATTGATTTCAGCCTTTTGCCTGAAGGTGGAAAGTTCACTTACCTAAACTGTCATGCACCTAGGAGTGGTATTTCTTGCCCTTTGAGAAGGATATAAAAAAATGTAGGGGGATATGTCTCAGCCTGTATGGGAGATTTCCAGACCATCCACTGCAACAATGGAATAGAAGTCTTGATCATGTTCTACAACTTTCTTGGGCCAGAAAGTGTTGGCTTATTCTGAAATTTATGAAATTATTTTCACTTGTGAAGTCACATAAGAATGTCATCTAACATTAGATCAAAATATATTTCATTAGGCACAGAGCTCTCCTTTAATATATTAGGAAGAGGCATGTTCAAATGTGTGAGACAACAGGGCCAAAATGCAATAACTGTAAGCAGTGAAAGATGTCTTCTCACTCAAACATGCAAATACATCACAGAATTTAAAAAGGCACATAACCTTTGACAGACCTTTTTTAGAAAAAAATCTATATAATATTAGTATCACTTTCCTTGTAAGGAGAAAAAAATATTAAATTGCTAGTGCCAGGGGAAATTTACATGCTTAAAGAGAATTTTTAAAGACTTCCATAAGAAATATAGCCTGCATATGCATCATGAAAATACACTGAGAGAACAAAGGTAGTACAATTTCCAACCACTAGTAAGGATAATGAAAGGTCTCAGACATCCCATTTTCATTAAAAGAGTTTTTTCCCCTGAAAGATGGGCAAGAATTCATTACAAGAGAAAGGGAGGGGAAGTTTATAATTTTAAAAGTGGAAAGTATAAAGACATTAAGCAGCGAAAACAAAGGAAAGAGTGTCTTAGGAAAATGGATAATGGTGTGTTTTGACTGGAGTGTGAATATGGGCGAGCTCTGAAAAATAATAGAATGAACTGTGGAGTTGACATCTAATTTGGTAGTGCATTTGAAATAAATGGATGTTTTGAATGAATTTTTTCTTGTCTGAACCCAAGATCAGTTCAAGCAGTATAGGATAAATTCCAAAATGGAGTATCTAAGGACACTCAATGCCTCTCTCCAAGATTTACCACTGATCAAATCAAACTCATTTTATTCATTAATGGTATAAATTGGCTGGAGCTGAGAATCGAGACTATAGTGTATTGCATATATGTTCATACAAAAAGGAAGCACTAGTTTCATAAAAAATAAATATGGCTTATACAGAGTCAGCTTTATAAAACCATATATGTATGCCAAAATACTGAATTAGTCACTTTAACAAAATATCAGGATCTGCTGTACTTAACTTGGAAGATTATCTATGCTTTATAAAGAAGAGCAATATATTAAAATAATTGTAAGGCCTCGACTCACTTTCTTTTGCAAAGACTATATCTTTGAAAAATATTATTACGGAATTGATAAAGGATATGGAGAGATTTAAAATACTAAATAAGAGAAGTTATTCCAATGAATTTGAAGAAAGGTAAGAATCATAGTCCACTAAAAGTGTGGGTTAAAAAGCCATTCACTTATAGGGATACACTGGTCATGCCGGAGTTTATAAATATGGTGAAATCACTGAAGATATTTTTGCCCCCAAACCTAAAAAAAAAGGCCATATGCCTTGTGATTTTTTTTAAATGAAAAAAGAAGAATGTAAAATGATAAATATACTAATACGATGATGACAAACTAGGAAATATCAAATTTACAGGGAAAGTGTGAATATTTGGTTCTTTCTAGCAAATTAAAAGACAAGGTACACTTTGGGGATAAATAGCTGGGCAACGTGCAGTGAACCAAGACAACCTCTGGGCGCCGCTGTTGACCAAAGGGAAGAGAGGGGCTCTTAATTCTGCAGGAGCGACAGGCAGAGTGCTTTCCTGCTTTGTCCGGCACACATCAGAGAGCAGACGCTGCTCCTGTGCACTCTCAGCGCTTAACAAACAAGTCCTACGCTCAAATTGCGGACGTCCAGGGTGCTGTCACTGATTTTTTAAAAACACCTCAGAGAAACCTTGAAAAGAAGATTCTCGGGGAGTTCATGAAATGCAGAGGAGCGCCAGAGAAGCTAAAACGATGAAAAGTCAGGTACTGTTTCCCTTCCTGGTGTCTTTGTTCTGCGGGGCCATCTCCCAGCAGATCCACTATACGATTCCGGAGGAGCTAGCCAAGGGCTCTCGGGTGGGGAACCTCGCCAAAGATCTGGGGCTCAGCGTCCAGGAGTTGCCGGCTCGAAAACTGCGGGTTAGTGCAGAGAATTATTTCAACGTTAGCGCGGAGAGTGGAGATTTGTTAGTGAGCGATAGGATAGATCGAGAGAAGATTTGCGGGAGGAAATCAGAGTGTGCGCTAGACTTCGAAACTGTTGCTGAAAACCCAATGAATGTTTTCCACGTGATTGTTGCAATCCAAGATATTAATGATAATGCACCACGTTTCACTGCAAAAGGCATTGATTTAGAAATTTGTGAATCAGCCTTACCGGGAGTAAAATTCCCTCTGGATTCTGCACAAGATGCAGATGTAGAAAGTAACTCAGTAAAGACATACACCATCAACCCCAATAAGTACTTCTCTCTGTCAACAAAGGAAAGTCCTGATGGAAGTAAATACCCGGAATTAATGCTGGAAAATCCTCTGGACAGGGAATATCAGAGCTACCATCACTTAATCCTGACCGCCACAGATGGCGGGGACCCTCCTCTGAGTGGCACCACCCAGATCAGGATCCAAGTCACTGACGCCAATGATAACGCTCCCCTGTTCAGCCAGGACGTATACAGAGTCAGCCTCCAAGAAAACGTGCCCTGGGGAACCTTTGTGCTGCGGGTGATGGCAACAGACCAGGACGAGGGCATTAATGCAGAGATCACCTATGCCTTCCTCAATTCCCCGACAAGTACCAGCCTCTTCTTCAATCTCAATCCAAATACGGGGGACATCACAACCAATGGTACATTGGACTTTGAAGAGACAAGTAAGTATGTGTTGGGTGTGGAAGCCAAGGACGGAGGAGTGCACACGGCTCATTGTAATGTTCAGATCGAAATCGTTGATGAGAATGACAATGCCCCAGAGGTGACATTCATGTCATTTTCTAACCAGATTCCAGAGGACTCAGACCTAGGAACTGTAATAGCTCTCATAAAAGTGCGAGACAAGGATTCTGGACAAAATGGTCTGGTGACGTGCTATATACAGGAAGAAGTCCCCTTCAAATTAGAACCCACCTCCAGAAATTATTACAAGCTGGTGATTGACAGGGCCCTAAACCGGGAGCAGAGCGAATATTACAACGTCACCATCATAGCCACCGACAGGGGCAAGCCATCCCTTTCCTCCGGAACCAGCGTCACACTGTACATCTCTGACGTCAATGACAACGCACCCGTTTTCCTCCAGGCCTCCTACGTTGTCCACGTGGCAGAGAACAACCCGCCAGGAGCCTCCATTGCTCAAGTCAGCGCCTCCGACCCGGATTTGGGACCCAACGGCAGCGTTTCCTACTCCATCGTGGCCAGCGACTTGGGGCCACAGGAGCTATGTCCTACGTGTCGGTGAGCGCGCAGAGCGGGGTGGTGTTCGCGCAGCGCGCCTTCGACCACGAGCAGCTGCGCGCCTTCGAGCTGACGCTGCAGGCCCGCGACCAGGGCTCGCCCGCGCTCAGCGCCAACGTGAGCCTGCGCGTGTTGGTGGGCGACCGCAACGACAACGCGCCGCGGGTGCTGTACCCGGCGCTGGAGCCCGACGGCTCGGCGCTCTTCGATATGGTGCCGCGCGCCGCGGAGCCCGGCTACCTGGTCACCAAGGTGGTGGCGGTGGACGCAGACTCAGGACACAACGCCTGGCTGTCCTACCACGTCCTGCAGGCCAGCGAGCCCGGGCTCTTCAGCCTGGGGCTGCGCACGGGTGAGGTGCGCACGGCGCGTGCCTTGGGCGACAGGGACGCTGCCCGACAGCGCCTGCTGGTCGCCGTGCGTGATGGTGGACAGCCGCCCCTGTCCGCCACCGCCACGCTACACTTGATCTTCGCTGATAGTCTGCAAGAGGTACTACCGGACCTCAGCGACCGCCCCGCGCCCTCTGACCCCCAGGCTGAGCTGCAGTTTTACCTGGTAGTGGCCTTGGCTTTGATCTCCGTGCTCTTCCTCCTCGCGGTGACTCTGGCCATTGCCCTGCGCCTGCGACGTTCTTCCGGTCCAGCCGCGTGGGGCTGCTTTCAGCCTGGGCTCAGCTCCAAGTCTGGCCCTGGGGTTCTTCCCAGTTACAGTGAGGGAACATTGCCCTATTCCTACAATCTGTGCGTTGCCTCACAGTCAGCTAAGACAGAGTTCAATTTTCTCAACGTGACTCCGGAAATAGCTCCCCCTCAGGATCTCCTGAGTGACGATCCTTCTATGGTTGTATGCACCAGTAATGAAGACCCCAAAATAGCTTATGACTCTTCCTTTTCCTCTCACGTGAGTTTCTGCAAACCTATTTAAATTTTATATATTGTATTTGCTTCTCAGTCATGCATTATTAATTTTGGTCATCTTTCATTGTTCTGTGATGGTATCCAGTGGGGGAAGGTGGTGTATTGGATGAGTGGAGATTGGTTTCTTGATTGCTCAACAGTCTTGGTAATTACCAGACTATTGATTTTCTGGCTGGCATTTCTGTATGGTTGCCAAATCTTGCTAAAGGGACCTGTTTCCTGGATGTCACCACCTTTGTTAATAGCAATGCCCCTTTTTAGTTGATGTGTGATAGTTTTTTTTAAGTTATGTTATGCTTAGCTCTTTATAAATGTATTTACAGTTCTTTCTGCCTAAGTTAAAGTTTATGTGCATCTGCACCAATTATATTCTAGTTGTTTACCTTTTTGCAGTAATGTGTATATTTAACACAGCCTTCCAATAATTAAGACTCTTAACACTTCTTCGTCTTATCACAGGTAATAAATATTGCCAAAATTTACATTTGCTTCACTGACTTTGGGTCAATATTATTCCCACTTTATAATTTTTTCAAGGATGTCTCATAATTTTCTTAACCATTTCTTAATCATTCATTTTTATTCTCTTCCTGCTTTGACATTATTATAATAAGAAATATAGTCTACATTTTGTTTATAAAACATTTTCCATATTTCTTAATGTTTCTTTTTTGTGTGTGTGTGACAGAGTCTCGCTCTGTTGCCTAGGCTAGAGTGCTGTGGCGTCAACCTAGCTCACAGCAACCTCAAACTCCTGGGCTCAAGCGATCCTTCTGCTTCAGCCTCCTGAGTAGCTGGAACTACAGGCATGCGCCACCATGCCCGGCTAATTTTTTCTATATGTTTTTAGTTGTCCAGCCAATTTCTTTCTATTTTTTAGTAGAGATGGGGTCTTGCTCTTGCTCAGGCTGGTTAATGTTTCTTTAGAATAGTTTTCTAAGAAGTGAGTTAAATCTATAAACATTTTAAGATTTTTTTAATGCACATTGTCAAATTCATTTCTAAAACATATCATTTTATCTTCCAATCCCCAGCAACTTGTGAGTCTTTTAGGATTGTGAGAAACACTTTTATCTATTCTCTCAAAGTCTAAAGATTTTAAAAGTGTGTATAGTTAAGGGAATTTTGTATGAGTCATTTCTAAATGCTAATTATTAAGTGAGGAATAATCTAAAGGACTGGTGACTTACTGCTTTATCTAAAATTTTCTCAGGTTAGTAATTTATTCTAAGTATAGAAGAAGAGAGCTATGGAACATGCAATGATAATGCACCTATAATTACTAAAATATTTCCTTTTACTGGCTATTTCTAAAATCAAACCTAAAATAAACTTAGAAATAATGGTAAAATAATAGCAGGCATGTCATGCATGAAAAAAATCACTGAATTATTACCTACTGTTTACAGTCTCATTTTTCTGTCTTTTTACCTCTATTATTTACTTTTAAGATCAGAGTTATTTGCCCACAGTGTTAGGCTTTGCATTTGCATTGATAACTCATTCATGAACCATTGAAAAAATATTTGTTGAGTGCCTACTCTATGAAAGGTGCCGTTCTAAAGATTGAGTACACACTGTGAACAAGATAGTCACAGGCATAACTTGTGGCCTAGAATCTACTGTATAAAAATTAATGAGCAATTCTCTTCCCAAACCTATTATCATATTCGTCAAGCCCGTTTGCACCAGGTTAAGACTATCTCTTAAAAGTGGGTACTTTCTTTCAAGGGAATGAAAAGCTTCCCTGAGTTCTAAAGGGTCAACTCATGTGAGTAAACTTGTTTCTACATAAGTTGGGACTAAAGCCAGACCTCCAAGCTTCCAGCCCACTGTCTTTTCACCTATATCTTTCCTCCATTCTTCAAGTCCGCCCTTGCTTTTAAGAGGGATAAATATGTCCCTCACGCAATGCTCTGTACTAAGAATGGGCTATGGGGATGAATAGTGCAAAAACTGAAAAGAGGTAGAAAAGACTTAGCAAAAAAAATTTAAAAATCATGTTATTTTCTGAGAAAATAAATAACTTTATAAAATTTATGGTACAGGAAGCTTTGGGTCATTCTTGGATTTTCATTGCAAATCAAACAATAGGAATTTGACTTTTAATCTATTGGGAGAAATAGGATTGGGAATGGAAAATGTGTATAAAAGTGGTACTTTATATGAGAATAAATTGCAGTAGCAGGTTTGGACTCTGGGTGTCGCTGTTCACCAATAGGGCGAAAAAAAGACAAGCAGAAATGTAATCCGAACCACAAGATTTCTGCAGCACAAAGCAGTTGTCGTGGGGCTTTACGAAAGCTTCCACCTGGACCCCGAGAGCTCCAACACCCAGCGATGAAAGCAGTTTATTTTGGACTCCGAAGATCCTAGGGCTCCTCAGGGCACCACAGAGGGAAAACCGAAGCGCACGCTCTTCCGTGGCGGGGCTGCGATGGCGGCTCCTTCTCATCGCCCAGACTGCAGCCGGCTGGTCAAGATCTGCCTTCTCCTGGGGGCCCTGTGGGAAATCCAGGCTGAACAGATCCGCTACTCGGTGCCCGAGGAGCTGGACAAAGGCTCTGCGGTGGGCAACATCGCCAAGGACCTGGGGCTGGAGCCCCGGGAGCTGGCGGAGCACGGAGTCCGCATCGTCTCCAGAGGTAGGACGCAGCTCTTTGCTCTGAACCCACGAAGCGGCAGCTTGGTCACCGCGGGCAGGATAGACCGGGAGGAGCTCTGTGACAGATCTCCAAAGTGTATGGCAAACCTGGAGATTCTCCTAGAGGATAAAGTAAAGATTTTTGCAGTAGAAGTGGAAATAATCGATGTTAATGATAATGCGCCCAGCTTTGGAACAGAGCAGAGAGAAATAAAAGTGGCTGAAAATGAAAATCCTGGGACAAGATTTCCTCTTCCTGAAGCTTTTGATCCGGATGTAGGTGCAAATTCCCTGCAGGGTTATAAGCTCAGCCCAAATGGTCACTTCTCCCTGGACGTGCAAATCGGAGCCGATGGGATTAAGTACCCGGAGCTGGTGCTGGAGCGCGCCCTAGATCGCGAGGAAGAGGCGGTTCACCACCTGGTCCTCACCGCCTTCGACGGTGGCGACCCAGTTCTCTCTGGCACTGCCAAGATTCACATAACACTTGTGGATATCAATGATAACGCTCCGGTATTCACTCAGCCCGAGTACCACATAAGTGTCCGTGAGAACGTGCCCGTGGGCAGCCGGCTACTCACTGTAAAAGCCACCGATCCAGATGAAGGAGCCAATGGAGAAGTGACATATTCTTTCCGGAAAGTAAGAGACAAAGTATCCCAGCTATTCCAGTTGAACTCTCTGAGTGGGGACATAACATTATTGGAAGATCTAGATTATGAGGACTCTGGATTCTATGACATAGACGTAGAAGCCCATGATGGACCTGGTCTCCGAGCCAGAAGTAAGGTGCTGGTGACAGTTCTGGATGTAAACGACAACACTCCAGAAATCACCGTTACATCTCTCACCAGCTCAATCCAAGAAACTTCTCCCCCAGGTACAGTAATTGCACTTTTCAATGTGCAGGATAGTGACTCAGGAGAGAATGGTCTCATTGCATGTTCTATTCCAGATAATCTGCCATTCATGCTTGAAAAGACCTATGGAAATTACCATCGGTTGTTGACACACAGAACTCTGGACAGGGAAGAAGTCTCAGAATATAACATCACCATAACTGCCACCGACCAGGGAACTCCACCACTGTCTACAGAGGCTCACATCTCGTTACACGTGGGAGACATCAATGACAACCCACCCATTTTTCCTCAAGCCTCCTACTCTGCCTATATTCCAGAAAACAATGCCAGAGGAACTTCCATTTTATCCATTACAGCCCAGGACCCCGACAGTGGTGAGAACGCCCGAATCTCCTATTCCCTGGCTGAAGATACTTTCCAGGGTGTGCCCCTGTCCTCCTACATCTCCATCAACTCCAACACTGGTGTCTTGTATGCACTGCGCTCCTTTGACTATGAGCAGTTTAGAGACCTGCAGCTACAAGTGACAGCCAGTGACAGCGGGAACCCTCCACTCAGCAACAATGTGTCACTGAGCTTGTTCATACTGGACCAAAATGACAACTCCCCTGAGATCCTGTATCCTGCCCTCCCCACTGATGGTTCTACTGGTGTGGAGCTGGCACCCCGCTCTGCAGAACCCGGCTACTTGGTGACCAAGGTGGTGGCAGTGGACAGAGACTCGGGCCAGAATGCCTGGCTGTCCTACCGCCTGCTGAAGGCCAGTGAGCCAGGGCTCTTCACAGTGGGGCTGCACACAGGTGAGGTGCGCACAGCGAGGGCTCTGCTGGATAGAGATGCACTCAAGCAGAGCCTTGTGGTAGCTGTCCAGGACCACGGCCAGCCCCCTCTCTCAGCCACTGTCACACTCACCGTGGCTGTGGCTGACAGTATCCCTGAAGTCCTGGCTGACCTGGGCAGCATCAAGACCTCTGCTGATCCCTACGATTCAGGCCTCACGCTGTACCTGGTGGTGGCAGTGGCCTCAGTATCCTGCGTCTTCTTCGCCTTCGTCATCGTGTTGCTGGCACTCAGGCTGCGGCGCTGGCACAAATCACGCCTGCTTCAGGCTTCAGGAGATGGATTGGCAGGCCTGCCCGCCTCGCACGTTGTGGGTGTGGATGGGGTGCGGGCTTTCCTGCAGACCTATTCCCATGAGGTCTGCCTCACTGCAGACTCCAGGAATAGTCACCTGATCTTCCCCCAGCCCAACTACGCAGACACACTGATCAGCCAAGAGAGCTGTGAAAAAAGTGAGCCTCTTCTGATAACTCAGGATTTACTTGAAACAAAAGGAGACACTAACCTTCTTCAGGTGAGCCAATCATATAATCATTCTTACTGCATTGAAACATAGGCAAAGAGCCTTGTAAATGTTTCCAATTATATAAAAGATGTAATATATCAAATAAAGGTACTTCTAGGGTCAATAATGATCGATAACTACTATGCAAAAAGTTATTTGTTTATTACTTATAATTTTTAGTCTTCATTCAGTTGTAGTTTCAGCAGAAATTTCTTAATTTTATACCTTGACCACCTCACTTTTTTAAATGTCATTTTCCTTTAGGCTTTACTGAAAGGTTGGATTAGAACTGTGAAATAGAAGGCAATTGTGTAAATTCATATTTATAGCATTCTTTCTCACGAAGCTGTTGTTGAATCTGGACTGAATATTTTTAAATTCCCTCTGTTCCCACTGTATCATGTTTTGCTTGAGGTTTACTTTTCTTTCCTTGAAAGGATGTTTCCATTATAGTTAGACAATGGCAAAAATTTATGGATCGTGGAGAAACTGTTTAACTTTTAATATAACTTTAACAGGGATATTGTCTCAATTGACCAGTATATCTCAAATATTTTGTTGTTGCTGTTCTGAGATGCACCAGCAATGACTATGTGTGATTCCTTCAGTGTACTTTTATGATTATCAAAATATTGTCCATTTTATTTCACTTATATCTAAGTAAATTGTATGAGTAATTTTAAAAATGTCTAAATTGCCTGGTTTGGCATCCCTAATAAGACCCTTCTTGATTTCTAAGGAAAAAAACTTTTTGAAGTCTTTCCATTTTTTATCATGTGAGCCTCTTACAAAGATTGGATAACTTGGATTCTGGACTGATATGATTCATGCTACTTAGTAAACTGGCCTCATCCCTGTCCCTGCAAATTGCATTCACATAGCTGTTATTGTGTGACTCTGGAATGATGTGATATGGAAGAAAATATTTTATTTGTAAGGAATATGCAGCACTAGTGTTCCTTGGCCTTCACTCAGTTCTGTGAATTAATTCAGAATTCATGAATTCCAAGGGCTACACAAATTAGTGTATTTTGATAACTGGAAGTTGTAGCAATAGATTGTGGGATATGCCTTCATTCAACTTAAGAAGGAGAGTTCTAGTTTCTACATGGTTTTGTATTCACAGGAAGCTGTGGTGCAATACATAGTAAACTGGAATATGACATGATATAATTAGCCAGCTTGCGGGGAGGAAAGAGGGAATAACAAGTGAACATTGAGAGATAACTCATATCTGAGGAGAGATTATTTAAAATACTGAAGCCCTAAAGTATAATTTGGAAATGTTCAATTGGCCTGACCCTGGGTCAAATATATTCAGATGGCATTAGGAACACATCCCAGAACCAGAGTGGTACATGTTTTAATGCCTAGGAAAGCAATAACTTACCTAATACCATATGGGAAATATGTTTTTGTTTGAATGGGAACTGGGTTTCTTTTAGCAAATAATATTTCTGATTAAACAAATCACTATACTATATCCGTATGATGAACTACTATATAGCTATAAGTAATAAATGGAAAACTTGGCCAGGGCAGTGGCAAGCGCCAGTAGTCCCAACTACTGGTATGAAATGATCTTCCAGACATAATAAATGAAAAAAGTAAGCTGCAGAACATGGTATATTGTATGCTTACGTTTGGGTAGAAAAGGGGGGAAGAACATTTGTAAAAATCTGCTGCACTCTACAAAACATATCTCTGGGAGGATACACCAGAAACACCACTTATTTCTCATGGGAGAAATGTTATCGAAAGCAGGGATGAAAGGGTGAACCTATGAATTTGGGATAATTTTAATATATTACTTTAAGATAAACAAATACTCTGTATAAATTTTAAAAACAAAGAAAGAAAAAACATTCTTTGCAAACACTTACAAGCCCTTGGTGCAGTTTCCTAAGAAAACCTCTGGGCGTCGCTGTAGGTCAAAAGAACCGAGAGAAAATATCAGAGACGCATTTGGGAGCCTCTTAGAAGGTAACTTCCTGTTCAACTGACCACACAGAGGAGACCAGAACAGATGCGGAGCACAAAAGAAAAGCAGGAAAAGTGACCCTAGCCGGGATTCTGCCTCCCCCGGAGGGTTTATTTTTCCTACTGGCGAAGGAGCGGAGGAGCGGAGGGAGACAGAGGATGCCGCCGCGCGCGGGACCGGGCCGTGCGGAGCCCCGGCCGCAGGTACTGTTGCTCTTCGCGCTGTCTTTGCTCCGCGGGGCCCTCCCAGACCCGGTGCGCTATTCGATTCCCGAGGAGCTGGCCAAGAACTCGGTGGTGGGGAACCTCGCTAAGGATCTGGGGCTTGCTGTCCCGGACTTGCCGGTCCGGAAGCTGCGGGTTAGCGCGGAGAAGGAATATTTCACTGTAAACCCAAAGAGCGGGGACTTACTTGTGGGTGACAGAATAGACCGAGAGCAGATTTGCGGGAAGCAGCCTCTGTGTATTCTGGATTTCGATACTGTCGCTGAAAACCCACTAAATATTTTCCATGTAGCAGTAACTGTGCAGGATATAAATGACAACACTCCGCTATTCAAACAGAGTAAAATTGATTTAAAAATTGGAGAATCCACTAAGGCAGGTACAACATTTCCACTAGATCCGGCCCTGGATTCAGATGTTGGTCCTAATTCACTGCAAAGATACCACCTTAATGACAATGAGTATTTTGATCTCGCCGAGAAACAGACTCCAGATGGACGTAAATATCCTGAGTTGATTCTGAAACATTCTCTGGACAGAGAAGAGCATGATTTCCATCAATTAGTCCTCACAGCTGTGGACGGTGGGGATCCACCTCAAAGTGGAACCACCCAAATACGAATCCAAGTCACTGATGCCAACGATAACCCTCCAGTGTTCAGCCATGACGTGTACAGGGTCACCCTGCGGGAGGACGTGCCCCCAGGTTTCTCTGTGCTCCGAGTGACGGCCACCGACCTAGACGAGGGATCCAACGCGGAGATCACCTACTCCTTTCATAATGTGGAAGAACAAGTGGGACACCTTTTCAATTTAGATAAAATAACAGGAGAAATCACAACAAAAAATGCTTTGGATTTTGAAGTTGCTAATAGTTACACTCTGAGTATAGAAGCAAAAGATCCTGGAGATCTAGCAGCCCATTGCAGTGTTCAAATCGAAATTCTCGACGAGAACGATTGTGCACCAGAAGTGATCGTGACTTCAGTATTTACTCCCCTCCCAGAGGATTCACCTCCAGGAACAGTGACAGCTTTGATAAAAACAAGAGACAGAGACTCCGGAGAAAATGGAGAAGTTTACTGCCGCATCTTGGGAAACACCAAGTTTGTACTGAAGTCTTCCTCGAAGAACTATTACAAGCTAGTGACAGACAGGGCTCTGGATCGGGAGGAGATCCCAGAATACAATGTCACCATCATAGCCACCGACAGGGGCAAGCCGCCTCTCTCCTCCAGCGTAAGCGTCACTCTGCTCATCTCAGACATCAACGATAATGCCCCAGTTTTCCACCAGAGTTCCTACTTGGTCCACGTGGCAGAGAACAACCCGCCAGGAGCCTCCATTGCTCAAGTCAGCGCCTCCGACCCGGATTTGGGACCCAACGGCAGCGTTTCCTACTCCATCGTGGCCAGCGACTTGGGGCCACAGGAGCTGTCGTCCTACGTGTCGGTGAGCGCGCAGAGCGGGGTGGTGTTCGCGCAGCGCGCCTTCGACCACGAGCAGCTGCGCGCCTTCGACCTGACGCTGCAGGCCCGCGACCAGGGCTCGCCCGCGCTCAGCGCCAACGTGAGCCTGCGCGTGTTGGTGGGCGACCGCAACGACAACGCGCCGCGGGTGCTGTACCCTGCGCTGGGGCCCGACGGCTCGGCGCTCTTCGATATGGTGCCGCGCGCCGCGGAGCCCGGCTACCTGGTCACCAAGGTGGTGGCGGTGGACGCAGACTCAGGACACAACGCCTGGCTGTCCTACCACGTCCTGCAGGCCAGCGAGCCCGGGCTCTTCAGCCTGGGGCTGCGCACGGGTGAGGTGCGCACGGCGCGTGCCTTGGGCGACAGGGACGCTGCCCGACAGCGCCTGCTGGTCGCCGTGCGTGATGGTGGACAGCCGCCCCTGTCCGCCACCGCCACGCTACACTTGATCTTCGCTGATAGTCTGCAAGAGGTACTACCGGACCTCAGCGACCGCCCCGCGCCCTCTGACCCCCAGGCTGAGCTGCAGTTTTACCTGGTAGTGGCCTTGGCTTTGATCTCCGTGCTCTTCCTCCTCGCGGTGACTCTGGCCATTGCCCTGCGCCTGCGACGTTCTTCCGGTCCAGCCGCGTGGGGCTGCTTTCAGCCTGGGCTCAGCTCCAAGTCTGGCCCTGGGGTTCTCCCCAGTTACAGTGAGGGAACATTGCCCTATTCCTACAATCTGTGCGTTGCCTCACAATCAGCTAAGACAGAGTTCAATTTTCTCAACGTGACCCCGGAAATAGCTGCGCCCCAGGATCTCCTCTGTGACCCTGCCTCTTGGGGACCAAGTACAAATCATGAAGACACTGGAGTTTCATTTGCCTCAGATACTATTTTAAAGGTCAGTTTTAATTCAATTCATTTATTTTCACTTCAGTTTTTATTGTTTCTTAACAAATCGCCTAACTTGAGTAGGAGGCTCCACTGCATAATGTGTTGTCTAGTCAGTCAGGTTTGGGCAGTGTTCTGCTTTAATTACCTTAATCTCATCTAACCAAATCTTAAATATGAGTTTTCTATCTGAAATGCGAGATTGATTTGTTCATAATTACAGGCCTTTACCACATGAAATACCATACTGTACTTCTTCTTTCTTATCTTTACATTCCTTCCCTCTGGGAGTTTGTTACTGTTGGAACTTTAAGGAATATCTTTCACCTTCAGGGTCTTCATTACTCAAATTTTACTTCCTCTTAGAATCACAGTACTTGAGAGTAAGGAGAGCCTTCATCTTACTAGTTTGTAGAAACTGGGAACCAAAGAAAGGAAGGGTTTTAACCAATGTCATGCTTGTTTAACCACAGTGCTTGGACAGGACATTGTTCCAACTTAAAGACCAACACTTTAAATATTTTTACAAGCTGAACATCTTGGGATCCCAGAACTATTTTAAAGGATGGGCAATGTTTGAGGTCTGAGCTCTAACATACATATTAACAAATTGCTCTTGAGAAAACTTGCACATTGAGAAAAACTTTGCAACCTAGTCACATCATTTTCTACCAAATATTACTTAAAACTTTATGGTTTTGAATTGCCTAATTATATAATATCTTCATTTTCTTAGTTTTCTATGAAGGTTTCTAAGTAAAGTTGCTTCTCTTGTACTTGCTCAAATGTCCATTTTTTTCAGTCATGAGGTTTTTCTTTTTCTGTTACCACATAAAAGTGATAACATTAAATATCTGTCTCAACATAGAAAGGCCACTCACTGCTGCTTGCTGGGCATGGTTTCCTGCATGGATGATGATCTAAGGCCCTGTCCTCCACAGTCCCTATACTGACTGTCACCAAAAGCCCATCACTGTAAAATGTCTAACTGCAAGTGTTTGAACAGGGTAATAGGAAAATATAAATAATTCGTGGTTAACTCAACTCAAACTCTCAGTCTCAGATAGTGCAGATACTTTCTCAAAGACCTCACAAGTAACTAAGACCTTTATTCTTCCTGCTTATGACAGCTAACATAACTTGCATAAATCAATAGGCCTTTTTGGAAAGGTGCATTGAGAGCTGGGTTTGTTTCCTTGGCATCCTTATGTACAAATAAGCATGGTTTCAAAAATGTATCCTAATAAAAAGGGGAAATCTTGAATCGTACAAAGGTAAGAATTTCAATGTCCTAATTTAACGGACAAAATATAGATAAAAGGTAAATAAAGGGCATAAGCTCAATGGCACATTAAATAAAACTTTTCTAAAGAAGTAAAATGAATCTACTAATTATATTGATTTCAGGGGGTTGTGGAAGTATTTTTCTATTCATAATTAAAACTTAATTAACTATTATAAACAATGTCACGCAGTAATACAATAAGGATATGGCAAAATTATTAGAAACAAACATATAATTGAACTTACAAGAAATAAAAGTAGAATTGGTGTAGTAACTGGTTAGGACTCTGGGCGTCGCTGTTCACCCAAGTGGGAAAGAAGCTGTCGCAGAGGAGATCCGACTCTCTGCTCCTACCTTACTAAACACTCACAGCTCAGGCAAGCTCTCGGGAAAAATCAGCCATCCGCGCCCCGCTCCCATTTTCGTCAGGGAATGTATACCCAGCGGCTTTAGAAAAAGAAGGAAACAGCCAGGCTGAACCAGGACTAGGAGGTAACTGGGCAGAGAGAAGGCAATGACGCATCCACCCAGGCGCTGGGGCTGCGGAGAGCTGCTTCTGCTCTGCATGTTCCTGGGGACGCTGTGTGAGACAGGATCCGGGCAGATCCGCTACTCGGTGCCCGAGGAGCTGGAGAAAGGCTCCTTCGTGGGCAACATCGCCAAGGACTTGGGGCTGGAGCCCGAGGAGCTGGTGGAGCGCGGAGTCCGCGTTGTCACCAGAGGTAGGACGCAGCTTTTCTCTCTGAAACCCCGAAGCGGCAGCTTGGTCACCGCGGACAGGATAGATCGGGAGGAGCTCTGCGCTCAGAGTGCGCGGTGTCTGGTGAGTTTTAACATCTTGGTTGAGACTAAAATGAAAATTTATGGAGTAGAAGTAGAAATAATCGATATTAATGATAACTTCCCGCGATTCCGGGATGAAGAATCAAAAGTTAAAGTTAATGAAAATGCGGCTGTGGGGACGCGGTTAGTGCTTCCCTTTGCGCGGGACGCGGACGTGGGTGTGAACTCCCTGCAGAGTTACCAGCTCAGCTCCAATCTACACTTCTCTCTGGATGTGATAAGCGGAACTGATGGACAAAAGTACCCGGAGCTGGTGTTGGAACAGCCCTTGGACCGCGAGAAAGAGGCTGCTCACGACCTCCTCCTCACAGCTTTAGATGGCGGAGACCCGGTCCTCTCCGGCACCACGCACATCCGTGTGATGGTTCTCGACGCAAACGATAACCCGCCCCTGTTCACTCAATCCGAATACAGAGTGAGCGTTCCCGAGAACATACCTGTAGGCACTCGGCTGCTCACGCTGACCGCCACGGATCCAGACGAGGGAATAAACGGGAAATTGACCTACTCTTTTCGCAATGAAGACGACAAAATTTCAGAGACTTTTCAACTTGATTCCAACCTGGGGGAAATCTCGACTCTGCAATCACTGGACTATGAAGAATCCAGATTCTACCTCATGGAAGTGGTAGCTCAAGATGGAGGCGCTCTTCTTGCCAGTGCTAAGGTGCTGGTCTCAGTACAGGACGTGAATGACAATGCCCCCAAAGCGATCCTCACCTCTCTCACCAGTTCTCTCTCTGAAGACTGTCTTCCTGGAACTGTAATTGCACTGTTTAGTGTACACGATGGTGATTCTGGAGAGAATGGTGAGATTGCGTGTTCTATTCCCAGGAACCTGCCTTTTAAATTAGAAAAGTCAGTTGATAATTACTATCACCTATTAACAACAAAAGCCCTGGACAGAGAAGAGATTTCAGATTATAATATCACCATAACCGTCACTGACCATGGAATCCCACCCCTATCGACAGAAAACCACATCTCCCTGAAAGTAACAGATGTCAATGACAACCCACCTGCCTTCCCTCATGCCTCCTACTCCACCTCCCTCCCAGAAAACAACCCCAGAGGCATCTCTATCTTCTCCATGACTGCCCTGGACCCTGACAGTGGTGACAATGCTCGGGTAACTTACTCCCTGGTCAAAGACACATTTCAGGGAGTTCCTCTATCCTCCTATGTGTCCATTAACTCTGACACTGGCGTCCTGTATGCTCTGCAATCCTTTGACTACGAGCAGTTGAGAGACCTGCAGATGTGGGTGACAGCCAGCGACAGTGGGAACCCACCGCTAAGCAGCAACGTGTCACTGAGCTTGTTTGTGCTGGACCAGAATGACAATGTACCCGAGATCTTGTACCCTGCCCTTCCTACCGATGGTTCTACAGGTGTGGAGCTGGCACCCCGCTCTGCAGAACCTGGCTACTTGGTGACCAAGGTGGTGGCAGTGGACAGAGACTCGGGCCAGAACGCCTGGCTGTCCTACCGCCTGCTCAAGGCCAGTGAGCCAGGGCTCTTCTCAGTGGGGCTGCACACAGGTGAGGTGCGCACAGCGAGGGCCCTGCTGGACAGAGACGCCCTCAAACAGAGCCTCGTGGTGGCCGTCCGGGACCATGGCCAGCCCCCTCTCTCAGCCACCGTCACGCTCACCGTGGCTGTGGCTGACAGTATCCCTGAAGTCCTGGCTGACCTGGGCAGCATCAAGACCGCTGCCGATCCCTACGATTCAGGCCTCACACTGTACCTGGTGGTGGCAGTGGCTTCAGTATCATGCGTCTTCCTCGCCTTCGTCATTGTGCTGCTGGCACTCAGGCTGCGGCGCTGGCACAAATCACACCTGCTTCAGGCTTCAGGAGATGGATTGGCAGGCCTGCCTGTCTCACACGCTGTGGGTATGGACGGGGTGCGGGCTTTCCTTCAGACCTATTCCCATGAGGTCTCCCTCACCGCTGACTCTAGGAAGAGTCACCTGATCTTCCCCCAGCCCAACTATGCAGACACGCTCATTAGTGAAGAAAGTTGTGAAAAAAGCGACCCTCTTCTGATATCTGATAAGATAAATGCAAGCAAAAAAGAACCGGGAGTTGTTCAGGTTAGTTTTCTCTTTCAGTAAGGATGACTGGAGCATTTTCTTCATTTGTTTCCTTATTCATTTTTCTGACATATTCAAAATCAGCTAATTTTATAAATAGTGAATCAGTATTTGCTCTATTGGAGATTAATTTGATTTTATTTGATAACTGATGCTTTCTCCATTTGTTTTCAAATTATATTTTGAGTTTAATGTCTTCTTTTGTGAATATGGGGATGTTTTAGAAAATCTAGTGATATCTGTAGATGTAAGTGAAGCAAATATTTTAAAAGAAAGTGGTTAGACATAATCCTTTTACCCAAGATTTTGCTATATTGGAACTGCTAGTCTGTTAATAGAAGAGTTGGTTTATTACTTCAAATAGTTAGATATATTGTTCTCTTTTAAATATTTACTTAGACACCGTTAGTGAATATGTTCTGGAAAGGATATTGTATAGGATTGATATTTTAGTATAACTGAAGTTTGCATAAGGAAATAATTTACAATATTTACATAAGCCAGTGGAAGAGTACAGAAAATTTTTGCATGATCAATATCAGAAAAAATGTTAATTTTATAGTGATGAATATGATGTGTGCAGCATTCTGAAATCTGGAAAGTTTGAACTTAACCATTGGATATGTGGACTTATTGAGAGAAGAAATCAGTGGAAAGGAACTTTAGAATTCAGCTTTATTCTGTGATATAAAGTTGAAACTCTTTGGAGTTTAAAGTCTCCAAAGAGTTAGATACTTCTGCATTCAATAAACATCAATATGCCATACACCTAGCATCTTCTGGTTACAAGTAGTCCCTTCACTTATTAGAATCAATACCTACTGAAATGTTTGCATTTCTTCAAGTATAAGTACAGTTCTGCTTTATTACCAGAGTCTAAGGTTTGTATTTGCAAAATGAATTCAACTTAGGAACTGTTTGAAATTTTAAAATTCATTTC